GCTGGTTGTACATTTGGTTGTAGCAGCCAAACACCTGAAACAATATAAACATCAGTATTAAAGAATTCACATAGCTGGTTGTAGCAGCCAAACACCTGAAACAATATAAACATCACTATTACAGAATTCACATAGCTGGTTGTACATTTGGTTGTAGCAGCCGAACACCTGAATAAACCGTTTAATACTATTTTTAATGATTTCATCCATCTTTGTGGAGATCATAGTTTCAAGAGGAATTTGACCTGTTTTCATACAAGCTTCAAATATGCTTAAGAAATCTACTTGTTTTTGTCATCCACTTTAACTTTCTTTTAAATAAACTGGAACTTATTCTAAAAAACACGTTTGTTTCTTTTTCATCTTAAAACAATTCGTATTCAATAACTCTACACAGAAAAAACCACCCCATCCCATTCTTTCTTAGATTCTGAAGCCGAAAGTGTCCAGAACTAACAGTATTTCATGCACAATTCCTAACTTATTTATTAAAAAAAGCACACAGGAAATCACTACAGCCAGCAGTATTTTTAAATTTGTCCATCGAAAATAAATACAAAAATATTTCCTTTACATACACAATACATCAACATGTGCATCCTAGCTCAGAAATGAGTTTCCTTGTTTTTTCTCAAAATAAAAAAAAAGAAGAAACATTACTGTTAATGTACAGGAGTGTAACAATACTCGGTTATTTAAAATTCTATAATTAAACCACACACACACACACATTAAAATTAGAAGATGTCGGTCAAACATATGAAATAAAGAATCGGGGGCTGTACATAACGTTCGTTTTAAACTATTTGATGCTTGACCACTGGCTTTATGAACCAAGCTGGAGAAGAAGTAAATATACACTCATGAAACTATTGGTGCAAGTATTGCTGCTTCACTACTGAACGTGACAGTAATCTTCATCCACTCCCGGACCGGGAACATTTGATGCTGGTTGTCTTGATATACTTTGTGGATCAGGCTCTGAAAATGTCTGCTGTGAACAAGAACCATCTGTCTTTTTCGTCTTCGAACTCCTTGACACATCTGTAAAGTTAAAAAACAACAATGTTACCACAGATTATTATAATTGTTATAAATAGTAAAAGAAATGTATTCATATCATGGAAAAAAATACTAGAACTTATAAAACTTTCTTTTCTTCCAACTTCACAAAACCTAAATCAAACACATCACTCTCTTTCAGATTTTTATCAAAGAACAAAAGAATGACAAAACTACAATATCCATTTTCTCTTAAACTCCTTCAGTTGTCCTTGATCTCAAAACCTTGGACATTCTGTGTATATCTCACAAAGCAACACATTCTCTCCTCTGTAATTCAAAGTCCCTTGTGAGAATGAATAGTTATGCCTTACACTCTAAAGTTTTCTTCAGTTTAATAAGAAACTCTGTGTCAAACACCAAAAGCTAGCATACCAGTGAAACTAATAGGCCTAATATTAGCAAGAAAAATATCACTAGATGGGAAATTAGTTTTTTCATATTCCATATAATTAATTCATAATGAATTTTTAAGTCAGTCATGTAAAAATAGCAGTTTAGATCATTTTTCATCTGTCACATATTACTGTCCCAGAAACCCTTAATTCAATACTAGAATTTATTTGTCCAAAATGCTCTATGCAACATTTAATATAAAAAAAAACAACAAAGAAACAATAAGGCCTAATATTAATGATAAAGCTGACAAAGCAATGGAACCATTAGGTCTAATATTAGCGATGAAACTGGCAAAGCAATGAAATCATTAGGCCTAATATTAGCGATGAAACTGGCAAAGCAATGAAATCATTAGGCCTATTATTAGCGATGAAACTGACAAAACAATTACATCATTAGGCCTAATATTAGCGATGAAACTGGCAAAGCAATTAAATCATTAGGCCTAATATTAGCGATGAAACTGACAAAGCAATTAAATCATTAAGCCTAATATTAGCGATGAAACTGGCAAAGCAATTAAATCATTAGGCCTAATATTAGCGATGAAACTGGCAAAGCAATGAAACCATTAGGCCTAATATTAGCGATGAAACTGGCAAAGCAATGAAACCATTAGGCCTAATATTAGCGATGAAACTGACAAAGCAATTAAATCATTAGGCCTAATATTAGCGATGAAACTGACAAAGCAATTAAATCATTAGGCCTAATATTAGCGATGAAACTGACAAAGCAATTCAATCATTAGGCCTAATATTAGCGATAGAGCCAACATTGCAGCTTAGTAAAATTTTTATCACTAAATATTGTGTATTTTTTGTCCTGATTTTCACACTTGCATCTGACCTAGTTAATTTGTGGGACCTCTGTAATGGAATTGTTTCTGCTCCAGAAACCAAAGTTGTCATAAGACCTACTTTCATATTATTTGGGAAAGCAAATACTGATATTAGTTTATATCACACAATCACTTGCTTGCTTATTCCTATCAACCTAAGTACAAAAAATATTTCTGTTGTATCTTATGTCTTGATACCCATGGTGCACCTTAACCTCTCTCTCTATATATATTTGAAAATTTAAATATCAATATGAAATCCTGAAAAAAAGATAGCACAAATCCTCCCTTACCTTGTTTCGACCTTTGTTTCTCCGCTTCTTCCTGAAACCTTTCATGATTAAAACTTTTCTCTCCAAACGGTTGTTGTGGTAGTGATTTCTTAACTTCTTCTTGTAGGTGGTGTTCAGCGGATGCTGGAGGAGCTTTATTCTCATCATCTTCTGTCACTTCTACATATTTCTTCTGATCATCACTACTGGTAATATAGAACTAATTAGAATATTTCTTTTAAGCCAAACTGTATTAATACTAACCTAACTAATTCAACTACTTTTCACATGCCGCTAGTCAAATGATCGAGGTAATTTTTTTTTTAATCAACAAGTGCTTAAATGTTATGGGAATAATTTTGAGATTTTGAAAATTTAGGAAGAATTTGGGATCATAAAAAAAAGGAGAAGAAGAAAAAAAGAATTAAAGAAATGAAAAAAGGGGAAATAGGAAAAAAAAAACTGTGTTGACTAATGGGTTTTGTTGTTGTCAACCAACTAAACACTTAAAACATTATGGAAGAAGTTGAGAAGTATTGATTAAGCGTATGAGATGAATCTGAGATTTTTGAAAGAATATTTACCCCCTGTCAAACAAGCAAGCTTCAAACAACATTAAGAAATTGTGTACTTTTAACTATACTTAAAATAAAACCCAAATCTTGAGAGCTTTCGAATAGTTGACAATTCTTTTAACTAATATTTGTTAATCGACATAAGATATTCAGAATAAAATTTGGAAAGCTTTTAAGGCAGACTTCCACTATATACTTCACGGTTACTTTGGTGAAAAAACCATGGCAGTATTACATTTAGAAAAATATAATCTTGTGGTTCAAATACATTATTTTATATAAAAACCAAAAACTACAGGTTCACAAACATAATGCACAATTAACATTCACAAAAACGTCAATTCAACAGCCCTGTTTAGAATGGCTATATCAGAATATTTGACCAGAATAAAAACTTTTCACAATGTATCGGAAAAGGTTGGTGTTTTAGTTCCTAAGTACACATTAATGGCCATTATTTTGTTTTAGACTTTTACATAAAGCTATACTAGCACTATCTGTACGTAACCATCCTTAATTTTGAACTGACAGAATAGAGGAAAGGCAGCAAGTGAACAGTATCCACTGACAACTCTTTGGACACTCTTACATGACCAATAGTGGAATTTGACCTCACTCTTATAATGCATAATTGACCCCAATTTTCAAAGGCAAATTGGGCAACAGGACACAAAACATGAACCCTCAAATTCACAATCTGAGCACACTGATCACTAAGGCCACATCTGGCTTGTCAATACTATGTCATATATAAAAAGTTCTGAAAAGATGGTTATACAACCCAAAACAAAGAAACCTTCCACATCAGTACACAGAAATAATATTATATAAAAATGTTAGTTATATTGATAACTTCACATACTTTTTACTATGAGTTTCTGGAGAGGTAGTTATGGTTTTAAGTCTAGTTTTCAGCCTATCATTTTCAGACTTTAATCGTTTTGTTTCTTTTTGAGCTTGATAAAGTTCTGCTTCTAACGTATAGATGCGAACACTATTAATGATACCACTTCCACCTCCAAAATTCATCTTCTCCAATTTCTCTTGTTCGGTAAGAGTGGGTTTTTGTTTATGGTGGTCCTGTTGGTCAACTGAAAAAAACAACAACAATAAAAACAGTACTAACTGAAATCAAATTTGATACAAAATAACCAAATCACAAACAACTTGCAACTAAAAGTCCACTACATATTGTAAAATCAACTGTTTTAGATGCTGCTTTCTGTTCTTATGTAAAGATTAAATCTTTATTCCAAACTATAATTACAACCTATTCGTATTTTGGAGGTATCACTAACATTTCTACATTTCAGGAAATTTTGTCACAAAATTTTTTTCCCCCGCTTTTTAATCATTTCTATTTCCAAGTAACACTTTAACCAAAAAATTGATTCGCATTATAACACCCCCACTTAATCTTTCTCTGGTGTTCTACAAACACTTGATAAAATTGGGTCCACGTAGCAACATACATATAAATCCTTTACTTTACCTACACCCCCACTTAATCTGTCTCTGGTGTTCTACAAACACTTGATAAAATTGGGCCCACATAGCAACATACATATAAATCCTTTACTTTACTTACACCCCCACTTAGTCTTTCTCTAGTGTTCTACAAACACTTGATAAAATTGGGTCCACGTTGCAACATACATATATATCCTTTACTTTACTTACACACCACTTAGTCTTTCTCTGGTGTTCTAAAAACACTTGATAAAATTGGACCCACGTAGCAACATACATATAAATCCTTTACTTTACTCACTAACTTTTTATTTTGAGATTTTCAAGGAAATACATGTGAACTGACAACTGAATAACTTACTTGTCGAGTTTAGATTCTGCTCATGGAGTCGACGAATCTCATTCTTGAGATGAAAAATTCTTTCACGATTACAATGACATTCCTCTTTGAGACTACGAAACCTATAAAACAAGACATAATTGCATAGCTTGAAAAAAAAACAAAAAACAGGAAGGCATTGATGAGAATACCAAAGTTAGGAAGAAACAAAAATTTTTATAATGATCAATGCAAAAGAATAAAAATTTAAATAAATAAACATTTACAAAATTAGCTTAAAATTAAGGTACCTACTAGGATGTCTCATAGTTAATATCGAACAACAATGACTAAACTTCAACGTGGCTTGCACTCGACCCTGTATTTAATAACATGCACATCTGTCAACGTGGCTTGCACTCGACCCTGTATTTAATAACATGCACATCTGTCAACGTGGCTTGCACTCGACCCTGTATTTAATAACATGCACATCTGTCAACGTGGCTTGCACTCGACCCTGTATTTAATAACATGCAC